GTGGATGTGCCGACCAGACTTCTTCAGTTTTCTTCTTTCCCAGGCTGTCGAGGGACACCTGTTTATCAAATATGATGAAGTTACAACAACTTCTGTTCAAAACATATTCTTCAATCCAACACTTACCAACATGTACTTCACCCTTTCTATAATGGTTCGATTAAACCTTTCAGCCAAACCATTTTGTTGGAAAGTCCATACAGTAGTTCTATGTCTTGTAATACCAGACGCAACATGATAGCTGTCAAAATATTCATTGCAAAATTCAAGACCATTATCAGTCCTCAACCTCTTGACCTTCCTGTCAGTTTGGTTTTCGACCAGAGTCTTCCAACTTTTGAAATTTTCAAAAATTTCATCCTTAGTCTTCTGGATGAATACCGGTACCTTTTTGGAGTAATCATTATCTATGGATATAAAATACTATACACCTGAGTGTGAAGGATTCCTTATCATTCCCCAAATATTGGCATGAATGTAATCAAGGGATCCGTGTGTTCTTTGTTTACCTTTGTTAAACTTCATTCTACAGGATTTACCAAATACACAAGGTTCATAAAACTCTATTTTTTCGACCTTATCACCACCCAACATTTTTTGTTTCGACAATTCAACCAGGCCTATTTCACTGACATCGCCAAGTATTTTATGTCATAGTTCAGTCTTCGACATAGTTTTCATAGATGCCACATCTGCTAAACCACTTACAACCTCATCCCTAAAGGTATACATGCCTCGTTTCTTCACACCTCTCAAGACTTCCTTCGACCCCTTCGTTACCCTTAGGATGCTTTGCTCTTCTTTGAAAACATATCATTTTTTGTCGAATTCACTAAGAGAAATCAAATTCCTCTTAAGATCAGTTACATACTTAACATTAGTCAATAGCCTTATTGACTCATCATGGAGCTTGAATCTCACATATCCAATACTTGCAATTTTGTAAGCTTTGTTGTTTCCTAACACCAGTGATCCACCATCTTGATCACAAAATTCTTCAAACACGTCTTTCTTTGGAGTCATGTGACAAGTACACCCTGAATCCATAATCCACTCCTTGCTAGAGTCACTGCTTGAAACCACCAGGACATCAGATGATTCATAACCATCTTGCATAATGGTTGCATTACCATTATCCTTTCCACCATGATTGTTCAGTCGATCAGGGTATATTTTTCTTATATGACCCTCCTTCTTACAATGATAACACTTAATAGTAGGAGCATTACCACCATAAGAATTATGTAGAACTTTACCATTCTTCTTCTCAAACCTACCATCTTTCTTTAAAAATTTCCATTTTATAGACAAACCTTCACCAACAGAAGATGACTTCCGCTCTTTTTGTTTGTTCATATCCTTAGAGTACAAGGAAGATTAAACATCTTCAAAGGTCAACAACTCTCTTCCATACAACAAAGTTTATTTGAAGTGAGAAAGAGGCTTAAGTAAAGAGCACAACAACAGCAATGCTCGATCTTTATCATCAATCTTGACCTCAATATTTTCAAGATCAAGAATTAACTTGTTGAACATGCAGTTGCTCAGCCAAGGATTTGTCTTCACTTATCTTGAACGAATACAAAGCTTGCTTCAGGTAGAGATGATCAACCAATGATTTCTTCATGTACAAACCTTCAAGTTTCTTTCACACACCAGTTGTAGTTTTCTTCTTTGAAACCTACCGGAGAACCTTATCACCAAGGCTCAATATAACGACACTATGGGATTTTTTTTACCATTGTTATCTTCTCCTTCTCCAATAGAGCAACTTCCATCTTCTTTGATCCTTTCAACGCTTCTAACAAACCCTTTTGAACAAGAAGGGCTTGCATCTTCAAGCCCCATAAACCGAAATCATTCACACCCGTGAATTTCTCAATCTCATACTTTGTTGATGACATCTTCTTTTCCACGCTCACCGCACTAGTTTGTTATGAAATGATGTTGCCAATAACAAAAAAAAGTTATGAGAAGAAGATTGAGTTTCTTGAACAAATACAAGAAATCCTATTAGGTTTTGTGAAAGAGGGAAGAAGTATAAGAATTGGTTAAAATTGTTTTACTATTCACTTTCTCAATAAGGGTTCAAAGATGACAAGTGAATACCCGCAATTAACCTCCTCTCAACAACCTGAGAGAACTAGTCTATTTATAGACTACTAAGCTAACTTAGGCTACAAGCTCTCTTAACAATTGGACTTACAAGCAAGACTCAATTTGACATGCTAACTTATACACAAAACTAACATATTTTGATAACATGCTTGGACAGACTTCGACTCTAGCGTCCACAACTCCTATCGAACCATGAAACTACCCTTTTCGACACTAGAGTTCGAACCAAAATACCACGAGAACTTTCTTGCAACCTATTGTTGATAGAATGATCAATAGGTTGGCTTCGTGGAAAGGTTTGTTGTTATCTTTCACTAGAAGGGTGAAGTTGGTTAAATCTACCGTCCTTGGGATGGTTACTTATAGTATGGCTATCTATGCCTGACCGTTATCTCTTATTGGTGATATTGAGAGGGTGGTGATGAGATTTATTTGGAGCGGAGAAACATATAAAAACAAAATAGTTACTGTGGCGTGGAATAATATTTGCAAGCCTATTGATGAAGGCGAGTTTGGGAAGAGATCTATTTTTCAAGCTCAACGAAGCTTCTAACATGAAGCTGGCTTGGAACACCCTTCGGGAAAGAGTTATGCGTAAAAATAAATTCATTAATCATCATGTTTTCTCCTCCATTTGGTTCAGTGCTGAGTTAAAGTTGTACAATGTTCTTGATAACTCTTCGTGGTGTCTTAGGAATGGTGAATCAATTAGTTTATGGTATGATAATTGGTGTGGTTCTCCGTTATTTCTGGATGGTGATGCCCTAGCCTCCATTATTGATCATTACGCTACAACAAATAATATTTTTCATGATGAAGCTTTCACCTCAAACAATAGTAAACCGAGGTATAAAGCCAATGCTTGTTATTTTTTATTATTTAACAAAAATAAAAAACCATAAATTCCATCGATTTTTCATAACACCGAGGTGAAAAAACAACTCAATACATGCTTCAATTTCCAACTATCGTAGTTTATGATTTTATTTTTTTGTAAGTGTAAACCAATTATTCTAACCCTTCAATTTTCTATTTAACTGAGACATAAAATAATTAGATTTTACTATAAAAGCACTCGTTAAATAGATTTTACACTAATCTTTACTAATATCAAGCATTCATAAACTCGCAAACATTATTCTTTTGGATAGATTGCAAGACAGAAAAAATATTCAATGTTCTTTGTTAGGGGTGAGCAAGGGACTGGTCGGGATGAGTTATGACTAATCCTAACCCTATCCTAAATTTTGATCGGGTTATTTGAATGATCCTAACTCGTACCTAAACTCGTAAAAACCCCGATAATATATAAGTTAATTTAGACCGGATTAATGTAAGATGATATCAGATTGATCCGAAATATATGGAGAAACAAATTTTAGTGATTTAAGAAATTTATTATAGTATTTTAAAAAATTCATTTAAATAAGAAATATGAATAAAATCATTAGCATAAATGAAAAATAATGAATACATCCAAAGTCAATTTTTTGAAATAAAAAACATGATGTAATTCTATATATGTCATCACCTTTTTATTTTCCCTAAAACATAGTAAGAAGATGTAAAATAAAAAACATGATGTAAGAGAACAGATTTATACTTAGTATTTACTTAGTGCATATATTAAATTATGAGGTGGAAAGTGGAAAAGTCTGTTGGAATTTTGGAATAACTTAAATATACAAATAAGTTAAATAAATAAATAATATCACATGTGCATTCATAATATTAGGACAGGTTGGGTAACCCGAGAGTCAACCCGAACTCGTCCCACCTATATTGGGTTGGGACGGGTCTTCGGATTGGGTTGGGGTCTGCACACCCCTATTTGTTTGTATGATTTTTGGATTCTTAAGAGGTTTAAGGTTATAATCCAGCCCCCGCGTGCTCAAAATATTGTGGAGGTCTTCTAGGAACTCCCCCTAAAGGATGGATAAAGTTTAATTGTGATGGTGCCTCCACATCCTCTTTGGGAATCTCGGCTTATGGGGGCATTCCTAGAGACCATGGTGGTTCTTTTTTAGGTGTTTATGTCTCTTTTTTAAGTTTCTCGAATTCTCTCATTGTCGTATTCTCGGCTGATATGCTAGCAATTGAATTCGCCAATAAGAAGAATTGGCACAAGGTTTGGTTGAAAACAGACTCGACGACTATGGTTAAAGCTTTCAATACTCCGCAATGTGTGCCTTCGTCAATTAGGAGTAGATGGATTAATTGTGTTAAATTAATTTCTAAGTGAAATTTAATAGCTTTTCACAATTTTAGAGAAGAGAATAGTTGTGCAAATGCCCCTTACTAATTTATGTTTATGATTGACTGAGACTTACCATTTTTTCTCTCTACCTTTGTGTATTAGGATAGATAAATTTTGTAAAGTATACATTTAATTTACTCTTCTTTAGATTTGTTCCATTTAAAGAGAGTTTTGGTATAGTTTTTTTTTCTCTTTTCCTTTTTATTATATTACCTTAATAATATATATATATATATATATATATATATATATATATATATATATATATATATATATATATATATATATATATATATATATATATATATATATATATATATATATATAATTGTATAAGATGCAGCAAAAATAATGAAGACAGACTCATTTTAATATTGGACAAGTTCTTAAAGCATAGAACAAAAATAATTGGGCAATAAATGAAAAATTGAAAATAGAAAAAAAAACAAACAAACAATTTGAAAAGTAAAGAGTTTAAAGATTATGCGATAATATTATAAAATTATATTATAAATTTACTCAATCAGATTTTACCATGACATCCCCTTATTTTTTTTAATACATTGCATACTCTTGAGACTATTTATTCGACTGGTAATTTTATTCTTCTCTTATTGAAAATAAATCAATTATAAGCAGTACTAACATAGCTCTTGACAACATTTTCCAACAAAATTTGCAACATTGTGGTGTTTTTAGGACCAATACACCTAGGGGTCTTGAACTGACTCATAGGTACACCTCTTGCAACTTGACTTTCAAGAATTTTTTGAAAGGTTCCTTTCTCTACAATTCGGAGTTCAAGGGCATCAATACCTTGGACTTTTCTAGAAGTAACATAACCTGGATCAATAAAAGACTCATCCAAACAGTTGCAACACTCAACAAGCGCGTCATCACTTGCTTCACCACTGATTTCCCAGAATATGACATAGTGTCCGGGCTCTTTGGATAAATCTATGTAGCTAGTGTAGTCAATCAGCTCAATTTTCTCTTCAATTAAAAACTTGGATGCAGTCTCTACTGATAATTGTAAATCATTTTCAGTGTTCTTGTCAATGTTAATGGTAAGCAAAAGATTGCTTCGACGCATAAACTTGATTTCTGGAGTTGAGTTATGGAATCCCATAACCTTTACCACATCTCCTAGCTTATACCTGTATAAACCTGCAGGATTGGTGAAAACAATCTCATACTCCTCGCCAATCTTCACATCAGTTAAACCAACTGGCTTAAGCTCGACCTGACTTCCATCGAGTTGTGCCAATGGAATGAATTCGAAGTAAGCAATTTGAGGAAGAATAGCATAAGTAGCAAATTCAGGAGGCACTTTAGGATTCACGTTTGACGCAATCCAGCCTTCAGAAGCACCATACTCCGAAGTCAACAAAGGAACTTCACCCGCATAATGTCTCAATTTGGTCACATAGGGCAACATCGCACCTGTCATGATCCCTTGAACATACTTAACATTAGGAAAAAGCACAGGAAACAATCCGTACCAATTGCTTAATCCCGAGCATGTCTTGTGGATCAAGTTAGCTAGTTCAGGATTTGGTTTCAGCAATTTGGACATAGCATCTCTAATGGATGGAACAGTGATTCTGCTGCTAAGAACACCTTCTTTGATATCATTAACAAGCTCTTCCCAATCTTGTTCAAATGTTCTGAAAGCATAGATAATGCTGTGCGCAAATGTTGATGAAATCGATTGAACTTCTTCTCGGAAAAGTAGTCCACACAAGAGGTGACAGTAGAGTGATTGATGAAAATCAGGACTGAAGATTACTTCATAAGGACTGCAACTTGGAGCTTTCAGTGCTTCCATTGCATTCTTGTAACCTGGATTTCCGAATACATTCGCTGTTGCTGTTCCTAACATCACACCCCCTTTCTTCTGTGTTGCATTGCTGCTGAAGATAAAGTTCAAAGCCTTGCCATCTTGAATAGGAAAATCTCTACAAAATGCAACTTTGTTAGATTCTTTCAAAGGTTGTATATGACATTGTCATTGTCGCAAATATACGACATGAAATCGAATTATTAATAATGAATAATACCTGTTCCTATAGGCAAAAGAGGTTTGATATATTTGCACAGTGGTTGTAAACAACTCATCATTCCACGGAATAAACTTCCGATTCCCTTGACTAGTTCCAGAACTGCAAAAACATAACACTTCTTTTCAGATTAAAACATTCTAAGAAGATAAAAAAAAACAAGCGTGTCTCAAACCTTAAAGACACCGCAGTGATCGGTTTTCCAGTAAGGATAGGAGAAACATCATCGACCAATCTATTGATATATGGTTCCAAATCCTTGTATGTGACCAATGGAACACAAGCCTTGAAACTTTCAGGATCAGTTCTTCCATTCAGTCCTAAATCCTGCAAATACTCAGCTGATGCATTTTCTTCCAAAATCCTTCTCAGTGTTTCCTTTTGAACATTCCCAGCATCCTTTGTTATTCTCTCGAATTCTTCGATCACTTTTTCAAAGTCGAATTTTTCAACTTCTTCCCTCATCTTCACACTACTTCACCTATTACAAAAAAATAATAATAATAATGATAATAATAATGATTTATGATATCTAGAGTGGTGTTATTAGCTTCTGTCATTTTTTTAAGGCACTGGACCCGGCAAAATAGATTTTGAAAACGAATTAACATAATAATGAACACAATTAGTCAAGAACACATTTTACTACAGATACTATGAACCATTAGAAATATGAAAGAAAAGGAAAATTTTGGAAAACGATGGAGAAAATGAAAGACAATAACAGAACTGGTTAGAAATGAAGCAATCACCACAAAAAACAATAGTCAAAAGAAATTAAAAAGTAGCATTTTAAGGGCAAAAAGGACACTATAAAAAGTGGTGTCCAATATTAAATATTAGATTTTGAAAACACCCTTTTACCAAAAACAATACACAAAACAAAAATGAAAGTCAACAAAAGTACACACTGTTTGGTCCTAGGAAAAAAATAACATGAGAATACTTTTTTTTCTGGTTTTTGAGTCTTCAAAAACTGTATAAAACTGGTTAAAAAGTTATATAACAGCGATACTTCTGAAAAAAAATATTTTAAATGATTATTAATATTGTCGTGTCAGTGAATGAAATAGTAAAAAAAAAATAGAAAAGAATGATATATATTTGAGAATAATAATATGATTGAGGGGACAGAAAAAGAGAAGGGTCTGTAAAATAACAGAGAATGGATCTGAATTCTGAAGGACAGTGTTTGTGTGAGAGTGTGAGTTTAGAGAGAGAGAGGAACTTACACAAGTTTGTTGGAGACAAGACAGAGAAATTTAGGAGGAAGAAAGTAAGTTGCTGAGGTCAAGATTCTCCTCAATGTACAATAGTATTTATAGGCCACTTTATAATAAGTTTGAGTTTGAAAACTTTAAGGAAATTAATATCAATTCACAAATTCATGTTTGCCCATAGAATTTGGACGGAATTACGAGGAAGTGTATATTAAGTTAATCAAAATATATTAGGTTAATCAAAATATATAGTATTTTTTAATTTTATTTTACTAATTTTTGTTTGATAGTTATCCATTTTTTTCTTTACCTTATATTAATTAATTATATAAATATTAGTTTTGAATAAGACTTGACTGGGATTTTTAGATAATATCTCAAGTTTAAAATTTCAAAATATAAGAGAAACTTCATTATCAATTTAGTTTTGAAAAGATTGATGCTAATAAAATTTTGACTATTTTTTAAAAATATTCATAGTCAAAACATTTTTAAATTGTCATTAAGATATTCATTTTACGATTTACTAAAATAATTCACTCTTATCCTTTACTGCTTATATTAAATTATAAACGTTGATTTTCAAAAATATATTAATTTAATTTAATGTCTTTTATGTTCTTTTTTTAAAGATATAAACAAATTTGAAAATATATGATTCATGAATTTAGAAAAGTTGATAAAGTTATAAACCTTTATATAGAATTTTAATTTAATACTATTTTTTAAGAAAAAAGTTGTTAGCATCATTTTTACTAAATTAAAATATTTGAAATTTATTTATTAGTTAAAAACACATGATTATTTTATTGTTATATTAAAAGTTTGTAAAATATAAAACGAATAATTATATAAATATAATATAAAATTTAACTTATGTAGTTGAATATAAATAACATGAATAGCAGTAAATCATATTTTATTAAATTGTTATGCATTTTTTTCACTACTAATATCTGAAAAGACTAATCTAATTCAGAGATTAGTTTTAACATCACGGAATTTTAACTATTTCTCATTTACAGTTACAAGAAATTGAACAATATATTTTTTATTAATATTTAACTTGATCACTATTAAATCAACTAACCATTGATTATGCATTTTAAATATAATTAGAAGAATATATTTTTAACATTTACAACGAATTGTTATGATAAATAATTTGTTCTATAAAATAGTTTATTTTATGATAGAATAAAACAAATTAAACTTGTATTCTTTTTAAATTAGAGAAGAATAAAAATGAAGAAATCATTTTCTGCTCTATTTCATTTTGTTTTTATCAATTTTCAAATAATAAAACTTTAACATATTTCATTTTTTTCCATTATATTCTATCAATCTAAACATAGTTTTAGTGAAGAATATTTCCTCCAAACTTCTTTTGTAATCTTTAATGATATTTTTTATTTAAAAAAGGGTGACTCACACATTTCTCATTTTTTATTTTTTAATAAATTATAATTATAATTATTTTTATTCTAGAAGGTGTTAAAAATTAAACAAAATCAATGACTCATTAAAAAAAAATTATTGTAAAAGAACAAAAAAGTAAGGTAAAAATAAAGGATGGAGTTGACAAATGTCACATTATAACTTTTTAAAATGTTGAAATATGAAGGAGTTGTATTTTCTTCCCCAAGCTAGAACCTTGAAACATAAGAATAGTAATAAAATAGTCACTACTATTGAAAATTCAACCACAACTTATGGAAAATTTCACTCAATCAATCTTGATCTCAAGATTGTTCTCACTCATGTAATGATGATGAAAGAAAAATTTAGAAAAAAAGTAAGCGTTGGAAAAGAAGATGAGCAATTTTTTGCAGAGAACTCTCTGCCCACAACTTGTGGAAATTCTATTATTTCACTTGCAACTGTAAACTGTGAATTACAAAATATGATGAGTTCACATGCAAAATAAGGGTTTCTTCCTATTTATAGATTTAGGTTTCTTGCACCCTAAGGCAAAGCTCAAAACTATAAAAGACCAAAATAGATAACAGTACTAAAATAGACCTAAGTCGAAATTCTGTGTGAAGTAACATGCTTAGACACTTCGATATACTAAGCAACTCGGTACATTAACACATTAGGCTAATTTGACTAATTCTTATTTTTGTCGAGCTACACTGCTTCGACACAAGGAATTACAAACTCAACACACCACCTAATTCACTATGTCTAAGTTATCTACATTCATCATAGATCTTAGCCTTCTGAACACTTCGACTGGAACTTCATTCGTCATGATGGCTGCAATATAACTCTCAGTTCTGCAGTGTTCCAAATTCATCTTCCCTTCTGCTACCTGCTCTCAAAGATAATGGAACCTCATTTCGATGTGCTTGCTTCAACCATGTGCTATTGGATTCTTCGCCAAGTTGATAGCTGACATGTTGTCAATCTTCATAGTAATTGCTCCATGACTCTTTGTCATGATCTCTTTGACTAGGTTCACCATCCAGGTTGCTTGACATAAACAAAGAGAAGCAACTATATATTCTGCTTCGCATAATGACAGTGCCACTACTGGATCCTTTCTCGAACTCCAAGCAACTTGTACACCACCTAACATAAACACATAGCCAGTTATGGATTTTCTATCCTCAACATCACTACACCAACTCGAGTCGGTGTATCCCACTAACTTGCATTATTTTCCTTCATCAGCTGCAAGAAACAAAATTTCATAGTCGAGAGTCCCTTTCAGATACCTCAGTATCCTCTTCGCGGCTGCTAGGTGTGATACCTTTGACTTTTGCGTGAATCTACTTACCATAACCATATTGTATGCTAAATCAGACCTTATGTGACAAAGGTATCGAAATGAACCAATAAGTCTTCTATATTGGATTAGGTTGACATCATCTTCATCTGAATCCTTCGACAGTTGCAATCTAGTATCACCTGGAGTCGAAGTTGGGTTGCAATCTTGCATCTCAAATCTCTTGAGTATTTATTCTGCATATCTTCTTTGGTGCATCATCAAACCTCTAATACTCTTGTAGAATTCGATGCCAAGGAAACATAAGAGATTTCCCAAGTTTGACATTTCAAACTCCTCACTTAGGTAATGTTTGAAATCTTCGATCTCCTTCTTACAACTTCCTGTATCAGCAAGTCATCAACATAGAAACATAGTATAAGCAATTCATATTGCTTCTTCTTACATATATTTCATGCTCAATCGTACACTTCAAAAATTTCTTCTTCCTTAAGAATCTATCGATTTTCTTATTCCAAGCTCTTGGAGCTTGCTTAAGTCCATACAGGGGTTTATGCAGCCTGTACACCTTTCTTTCTTTGCCTCGTTTTACAAACCCAGTTGGTTATGCAACATAAACTTCTTCGTCTAAAGGGCCATTCAGGAATACACATTTCACGTCCATCTGACATGTGTGCTAATTTTTCATATTTGTTAGACCAACAACCAATCTGATTGTTTTGATCCTTGCAACAGGTGCAAAAACTTCGTCGAAGTCGATTCCTTCTTTCTGAAGAAAATCTTTCGTCACAAGTCTTACCTTGTGTCGAGTTACTTCTCCTTTAGGATTCACCTTCACCTTGCAAACCCACTTCACATAAATTTCCTTCTTGCCTTGAGGCAAATCGACAAGACCAGGTGTTGTTGACTTTGGTGGAATTTAACTCCTCATTCATTGCTTTCACCCACTTTGAATCTTTCAATGCCTCAGCTGCATTGACTGGTTTAACATCTGCATAAAAAGCATAGTGTACCAGCTCACCTTCTTCATCGATCACATCATCTGCTGTAATTACACATTCTTGCAACCTTGCAGACATGTGTCTTGTTCGTCGAGGTCTGTTTGGACCAACTTCATCTCTAACTTGTTCCTGTCAAACTTCTCTTTCTACTTCAGTGCTTGGTTTTTCATAAGAGATTCTCACTGATTCCTTCTTAACATTCTCAGTCCAATCCCATTCTTTAAACTCATCTATGATCACGTTCCTGCAGATCACTGCATACTTATTCACTGGTCGAACAACTTGTAACCTCTATTCGAATGATATCCTATCAAGATCATCTGATTTTACTTGTCATCAAGTTTCCTTCTCAACTGATCTGGCACATGTCTATGTGCTACAGATCCATACACCTTCAAATGACTGAGGTTGGGCTTGACACCAGGCCAACATTCTTCTGGTGTGATTCCTTCTAGCTTCTTCGTCGGACATCTGTTTAATATTTGTGTTGTTGTTGAAACCGCTTCTCCCCAT